TCTGCTGTGACCAGGATCCAAGTTCAAAGACCTGGTTTCAATTACACGTTTGCCCATATATGTATCCTGAACAACGACAAGACATGCATAGTGGACGACATAGTGCATGTACTGGAGGAACTAAAGGCTGCTCGTTCTTCTAATCGAACTAATTTTGCAATCACTTACCCGATTACTCACTTAAAGGATGGCAGGGAAGTGTATAACGGGCATCAGCTTGGTGGGGTTACTGTGCACAGCAAAGACCGGGTGAAGTCTGCAGAAGCCATTCAGCTCACCTACTACTTGCAGGCAATCAACTCTTTGAATGACATGGTGGCAGAGAAGTGGGAATCCATTTTTTGTGACACTGTTGAACTTTTCCAGAAATCCAACAGGAAAATCAAAATGTATCCTTTCACTTCTTCTTCGCTGAAGGAGGATTTCCAGAAGACAAGCAGGGTGTCAGAACGCTACCTGATCACAAGCTTGGTCCTTGTGGTCACCTTGGCCATTCTCTGCTGCTCCATGCAGGATTGTGTCCGCAGCAAACCCTGGCTTGGCCTGCTGGGATTGCTGACTGTGACCCTTGCCACCCTGACTGCAGCTGGGATCATCAATCTCACTGGTGGGAAATACAATTCCACCTTCCTGGGAATCCCCTTCGTCATGTTAGGTAACTATCTCCTATCTCCTCTCTCTTTTGTGTGTTTTGTGGCTCCCTGACACATTTCCCAGAAAGCAGAGAAGCATCACTGCATGGCTCCCTGTGCCTCCTCCCTGCCAAATCCACACATCTTTTTTTCCTAAACTGTTTTTACTGTGCCGGGATGTTAAAATCATGCCTGCGGGCTCCAATGCAGCATAGCACCGTGCTGTAGGATGCAGTACCTGTGCAGCAGCAAGGAACAGGGAGGCACAAATGCCATGCCTTGTAGAGGGGGAAAGCCCAGCTGCTTTTCTGTGGATGTTTAATTCTGGGTTTGGTAGCCAGCATCGGGGGGAAACCTCTGTAGAGGTCCCTGTGCCACAATGACAGTGTCAGCTGTGCCAGTAACTCAAAGGGGCTGTGTGCATTGGGCATTAAGAGAGCGCTGGGTCCTTTGGAGGGCAGAGCAGTGCTGTCGTGGCTTGGCAGGCACCTGTCTGTGGGATAAGGGCAGTGGTCGGTTCTGGGTTTTATTTCTCCTGAAGCCCCTGTGTTGGCTGAGTGAACGTAGGGAGGGTTTCACAGCACTGGCACGGGGAGCATTGCTTCACTCAGTCAGAACAACCCGTCCACATAGTGCCAGCACATCCCCTGGTGGAGGGCTATGAAGGAAGCAGCATTAGCCGCTCCCTGGCTCTGGTGCCAACAGAGGCATATTCATTTTCCCAGTTGCCATACTGCCTTCACTCGCTGGAAGGTATGGGGTGGTTTCATGTTGTTTTCTTTTCCTCAAGGGTAGGAAGGAGGAGGAGAGAAAGTGATCAGCTTGCTCCCAATCCAAAACTGGTGCCCTCTCCTATTGGCACCAGAGCGTTTGTGGGGATGCCGTGCATTGTATCCAAACAGGCAGGAGGACTTCACAGGAGACAAAATGAGAGCTCTGGAGAGTTCACAGCCTCTTTGTTTGTGTTTGGTTCATAACCAGTGTGAAAAGCTTTGTGCACTGTAGGTGTTTAATATGTCCTCATTCACGCCATTATTCATTTGTGGAGAATAATACAGGCATTGATTTGATCACAGCTTCCCCAACTGAAAATCAGTGCTCAGTAATACTTCAGGTTTCAAGTGTAAGAGTGTCTCCACTGACTTAGTCACATCGTGTAGTGATATGACAGGTTTCAGCACAGCTATTTTTATATCCAGTGCTGTGTTCCTATGCCATGCTCATACTGTAGCTGTGGTATTGTTGCACTTTAATTAAAGACTATGCTTCAGTGCATCACACTCCCAGTTAACGTACAGAATATATTCAGTGACAGAGAGAATTCAGCTGTATTGCACTGGCACTCGTTTTCAGATGACATCCATGAAAATTAAACTGTATTATAATCTGGAGGAAATGCAGCATGAGAAAGTCAGAGTCAAAAGAAGGTGAAGGCTATCTTTCTGACCTGAGTCTTTGGTTTCTTTTGTGGGCTTTTATGCCCATGCATTGTTATAAAATTAAATTCCTCAAACTAAGTAGTGTATATTACATATAATATTACGAAGGAGGGGATTTCCAGATGTGTTGCAAGAGTAGTAGAAAAGCAGTCTAAAGTTCAGCCGTACATAATGAAAATACCTGGGGAAAGCAACTCAAAAATATTAAATATTAGCTCTGCTTAGGGATCAAAGCATCTGCTCTCTGGCACAACCTTTCACTAATAGTGACTATGCTTAGACTTGAAATCCTTGAAGAGTTACAGATAACTATGAAAAGTTTCACACTTCTATTTTAGTGCTCCTTTAACTGCCGAGCTATATAGCCAATTCTGCTTTTCTTTTCCTTTTTTTTTCCCCCCTTCAGGTTTTTTTTTGGCCTTGCTTAGTTGAAGTGTTCTACTCTTACAAGGAGTAAGTTTCAAATAAGGAGCTCAGCTCTCACTGTGAACAAGTCAAGACAGAGCAATCAAGCTCATGTGAATCTTGCCTGCTTCCCCAGCTGCATAAAGTCTCCCAAGGGACAGGAATATCAACAGGTGACCAGAAGGCAAAAGACATACATACTGGAATCTTTAATGGGAGTTGTTTTAAACCAGCAGAGAGCTAGAAAGGGAGGGCTTCTGGTTTTTTCCTGCAGTGCCTCAGAAGGATTCAGCTTGCATTTAAAAATGTATTTCATTCCTCTGTGTTGTTTTGCTTATAAAGGATGGTTTAACTCAAGGTAACTGAAGGCTGGAGACACAAACCACCTTCTGTTATAGCCCACTGAACTGCTTCCACTTAATTTCAGTGACCATCAGATTAGATCATAGATAAACTGACCTTTAGAAAGCTAAAGGATTTCTGGCTAACAGTGTAGCCCCATAGCTATTACTCATACTCTTATGGCTAAAAGCAAAAATTAGATAGAAAAAATGATTACACTGGACACATTTCAGGCAAGGCCCCTTTACTGGTATAAATCATTAATGAAGTTTATAGCAGCTGAGGATTTTTAAGTTTTTGTCAGCATCATGGATCCAGACATCATCTGCCCTCTGCTACAGGGCCAGATCGTTTCTTTCTTAACAGATATTTCTCACCCTGCATTTTGTTTCCCCCGGGCCGCTTCCCCCTGTGTTTCACTGCACTACTGCTACAGCATTTGCATCATGTCTAACCTGAATTCCCCTTTTGCAGCTCATCTGTTCTCCTTATTTATCCACTCTATCTGGAAAACAATTTATTTTCTTTTTATTTGCATCTTTGGGACCACTCTCACTTGCCTAGTTCTCTTCCGTTTCATCCCAGGTTTCCTCACACTATGCTTACCAGACTTCCAGCAATCTTCTTGCTTTTGGCCACTCCACATCTTCCATGGAGTTCGGTGCCTAAATCCAGGCACAGGATTCAGGCTGAGGCTTTCAGCAGCAAGTAGAGTAGGAGGATGATTTCACACATCTTGCATATGGCACTCCTGTTCATACATCCCCATATGACATTCATCTCTTTCTCAGCAGTATGAAATGGTTGGCATTTGGTTGGTGGCACATGGTAATTCACTGATCCTCCATGTCACTTTTTACCCTGTTTGCACAATTAGTTATTCCAACCAACATGTAGAAGTTTGTCTTTGTCCTTGCTGAACTATAGCTTGTTTATCTCACACCGTTTCTCCTCTTAACTAAGTTCATCTTGAGACCATCACTGCCCTTCTAAGATGCACTAGCTGAAGTTGGTCAGCAATGTTTTGCAATTATTGACTTTTTCGTATTTTCAAGACTTAATTTCTGAATAGTTTAGGTAGTTTGTGTAGTCACAAGCACAGTCCGATAATTTGGGAGCATCTCTGCAAAATACTCTGTTCAACGTGCTTCGTAATACTCAATTTTATAAATCTGTTTTCTGTAACATCCCTTCTGCACCAGTCATTTCAGAGAACAAACAAGCTACAGTGAAGGATACCAGGATCTGTAGGTGTTGAATCCTTAGCCTTTGCATCAATAAGACAATTCTAAGTTATTATATTACCAAGTTGCACTCTTAAGCTCAGGCTGTGTAAGTGTAGGCAGGAACATCTTTTGCCTACCCAACCTGTTAAATATGACATACTGGTTTAAACACTTCATGCATGGGTTTTAATCACTTTCGTGGTAGTTTATTCTAATTTACTTTACTTTTTAATGAAGGCAGGTTATTGTACCGCAGCTCACAAAAGGTACCTCATTAAGTCAGGATAACTCAGTCACTGATGACTGACTACTGTAACAATTTTTATGTTGTGGCAGGTTTCATTTTAGCCCTCAGTGGTTGCTAACTGAATGGCAAAAATTGAAGGCAGGAGAGATGTTGACAGAAATCTCTTTCCCCAGCAGGCACCGAAAGAGCAGGGGTGCCCTTTGGTTACCAGCGGTCACTAGCAGAGAAGCGAGAGCAGGCTGGTTGCAGCCGCTCTTTTCTCTAGGGGTATCTTGTCAAGTCAAGGTGGGAACTGTTCTTCAGCTCTGGATTTATATAGGTACATCTAACGTGAAAGTGAAGCCTAAAACCTGCAAAGCTTGGCAGGCTCCCACCATTCGTCTGGGCATATTTTGAATTAGCATATGCCTCTGGGTTTTTTTTAAACTATCATCTGCATTTATCAGTGTGTAAACAAGTAATTTAAGGACAAGATTATTCACATGTCTAGTTCATGTGGAATCCTTTGCTGAACAAAGGCTATTCATTTTTGACCCTAAGAACCAAAAAATTTAATTCTTCAATTTGGTTGAATTTAAAATAGCTGATTTATAGCGTCATCTGAAAAGCAGAATGAAAATTCCGATTTCCTATTGCCTAACACATTAAAAATTACAGATGTTTGGTCTGGCACAGACGCTAACGTATTCATCATAAGTTTCCCTTATGCATTAAATGTTGTTTAATAACTGCCGATCCTTTAAAAATACCAGTTTCCTCAAAAAGAACAGTGTTACCAAACAAACCACTGGGCAGCAAGCAGCATTGGCTGAACAAGTTCTTGGCATGACTTTTTTCGCTTCCCAGAGGTGGAGCACAACATCTAACTTAGGGACTTAAAAGAAAATTGCAACATTGCCCTTTGCACTGAAGAGAAAGCTAGCAATCTGTTTCCTATTCCTTCAGAAACTCCTACAGCTTATTTAGGGAGAGGCGGCTCTCTTCAGCTGCCAAGTTCGTGAAAAGCATGGGCTCAGTGAAATCGCGGTGGAATGCCAGGCACTGCCAGATACGGGCATACAGGGATGCAGGGCCGGCTCTGCGGGCTTATATTTAGCCTCTGATGCTGGCAGGGGAAAACCAGCTAGCAGTTACGAGAGCAGCTTGAGCCTGCAGCATGCTGTAAACGGAAACGATAGCCAGCCTTGTGTGAAACTCGGCAAAACAGGGATGAATGCAAATACCTCTTCTTACTACCTCCCATCCCTGTTGGTACGCCCTTTCTGGGAAGAGAGAAGGGGGAAACAGTCAACAGAGCAAGTCCAGGGAGGGCCAACTGAGAAGGAGCAGGTGGAAGCATCGGGCAGGACCAGGTGGGGTCCTCC